TTTAACTTATTTGGCTTCTTGTTTCCTGAATTAGTCCAATAAGCAATCACATCCAAGTATTTAGCCAAAAGATAGCTCCATCCTCTACAAATAATATCTTTCAAATAAGACAATGGTATATAATTCAACATGCTGTCATATACTATCGTCTACAGGGATGGGAGCTGAAGCTCGATGAGAATCCAATGACGACGTTCCATAACAGGGATAAACACCTGCAATATAATAAATAATACTTCAACTGCGCACATCAAATAAATTTTATGAACACCTTTAAATATGCAAAAATAAATACTAACCTTATCGACCTCCCACCATGCAGGATAAAGGATAGCTTTGCCATTACCCAACGTATATGAAGCGTCTCTGTGATTCTGCAAGTAAGTTGCATGAAAAGATGAAGGCATAATAGTCCATCACGTCTTTTTGATTTTCTTCAATTTCCTTAGAACCAAAAGATGTGACACCCATGCATCAATATGTTGTTTTATAAAAAAATACATATATTAGTGAATTTAATAAATTTTAAAAAAAATAATCAAAATCAATATAAAAAGAATATAATACTTACCCACATTCAAAATAGTCATTCTCTTCAACCCCTAATAAAACACCTTACCAAGACCGCTCAAGAAACAAATTTGTATTATCGATTTTGCATATGTCAGTGTAGTACCCTGGCTCCGCTCATGTAGATAAAAATCAACTGCGGTCTTAGCCCAAACGATATTATCCATAATTGTGTCCGGTAGTGTGCATATCTCATACTGAGGAATGATACTGGCCAGTAACTGATACGAAAGCCAACTCTGATCCATTATACCGGGCACAAGAGGGGGTTTACCAATATATCGACATAGTATGCCATGTGGATCCTGAACGGTGGGAGATAGATCCTGAACGATGGGAGGGGCCTCTTGAACGATGAATGGTGAATCCTAAACAATTGGAGGTAGATCCTGAACAATGGTAGGTGGATCGGGCCTCTTCTTATGCAGTCTTGGAACTATTGGGGTGAAAGGAGACGTAATGGCACATCCACGACGTCTAATGTGTGAACCCCGTCGTGCAAGAAAAAATCGACGTAAAGCACCTACCTTATCGGGCCGCTAAAAATAAATTAATACATAAATCAGTAAATAAATAAATAATGTCGAAAAAAAGGTTATTTACATTTTTAGTATAGTATTTCTTATAAAATTAAATAAACTTACCTCATTGCGTAGAGTATGAACCTCATTATGCAACGATGAAACAATCTCACGTAGAGCAGCTACCTCATCATGTAAAGCATATTCCTCACCACATAAAGCACCATTGTCATCACGTAAAACAACTACCTCACCACGTAAAGCACTGACATCATCAAGTATCGTGGCATCTTTACCAGTCGCCTATCATGAGGTGATGGTGGAGAAGAGGCTCGATGATGTGATGGAATAGGTGATGTCTCTCGGTGTCGAGGTGTAGAATTGGCTCGATCAGGTGATGGCTCTCGGTGCCAAGGTGTAGAATCAGCTCGATCAGGTGATGGATCTCGGTGTCGAAGTGGAGAAGAGGCTCGATGAGGTGATGGATCTAGGTTTCAAAGTGGGGGGAGCTCATCATCCGTCCTATCTAAAAAACGCCTACTAGCTTACCACCAATTAGTGGCAAGCTCAACCTCTGTAAGTGTCAATGTCTGTAATGGATAGTTTGTCTCCTAACAATATAAAAACCCAAACAAAGTCAAACGTCTACTAGTAATAACTTGTTTATATATAGTAGTATTTGTGTTAACTTACATAATTCATCGTCATATATGGTCGTAAATCTTCCCAATCCAACAGTCAGATCCTCCTCCAAGTAATAACCTTAGGAATATCATTTGAATTCTTGATGGCATAAGTACGCATGCTGGGAAATGCCTCAAATATCCAAATCTACAAACAATATAATACACAAACATTAATTTTAGTAATTGTTAAATAATTAATTTTGGAAACATTATATAAAAAATCTTACCTTAAAGGCCCAAATAAAGCCTGCCAAAGTGTATTTAGAACCATGCCCACGCAAACTACGATGGTCCTCAAAGGCAGACAACAATTTTTTCCAGGTAGCTTTCCATAGATATAAACCCCACGGAAACACATTTTATGCATCTAGGTCCTCTACCAATAATATTAAATCCTGAGAAATAGGTTGTCTGCCCTCTTTGGCTAAAAAGTCGGCATACAAAAGTAACAAAAGGCATACTCGGACAACATCAAGGTCATCCATCTGAGTAAAACCATCTTTAAGAAGTAATCTTCTCAAATCGTCGACGTGTAAAGTGGCCTTCACCTTTTCCAGCTCAGGAAAAACCCGAAATAACCATGATGGGCGGGTGATATGACTAGTGTACAGACCTAATTCATCGTGTCGTCCGAAATGTAGACCAGTGACTAAGCAAAACTCCTCTCACCCAAAACGAGTATACGCCGATGGAAAATGAAACCATATCTCCTCATCACCACGTTGTATCCCCTCGGGTAGATCGTAGTCATGGTCTGAAGAAACAAATGAGTCAACATAGCATCTCCACCTGGATGTTGTACTTTCAGCCATGGCCCGAAACAAGTATTCTCAAACAAATTTCTTTGGACAGGTGTAAGTGTCGACGCAATTGTAGTGGCTATGCTTAATTTATTCCTTAAAGTCAATGCAGCCGAAAAAAATTCCTAACAAAAACAATAAACATACCAAGTTAGATATACTAATAATATACCAAAAACTACAAATTATACATAATAAACATACATGATATTAATAGGGAAAATATAGCCAAATATGTTTCAAACTAGCCCGGTATTTACCCAAGTCATTATTCTATCATAGTTCACAAAAATGCATCATATAACATTCCAGAAGTAAGTATAAACATTTAAAAGGACAACATATAAGTTTAGTGCAGGTTCAAGGATAACATTCTAGAAGAGTATTAGTTTATTCTTGAAACTTAAATTCGCAACACTGTGAAGTTTGTATTTGTCTTTGTTTTTTGGTTGAAGTAATGCAATTCATTCAAGTTTCAATTTGCAGAAGAATAGTAGTTTATTCTTGAAACTTAAATTCGCAACGCGAAAACTAAAATCGTGTTCCAAATTTCATTTTAGCGTTGCGATTTTCGTGTTGCGAATTTCATTTTCGTGTTACGAATTTAAGTTTCAAAAACTACTATTCTTCTGCAAATTGAAACTTGAATGAATTGCATTACTTCAACCAAAATATAAATACTAACTTCACAGGGTTAAAGACTAAACAGTTTAGCAGTATTGGCAGCAACCGAATGAATTTACTAAGCAATCTAAGTGAAATGGTTAATCTATATATTGAAATTACGAGTAAATTTATCATTAATTTAAATATGAAAAATGTAATAATAATACAAAAATTTCAAAATAAAAATAATTAAAAAAACTAACACTTGGTGGTTGATTTTCCATTTGTGGCTGTGAATAGTTGTGAGAGGGTGGATCTGAGAGATGGAGGGAGTCGCCGGATATGGGGACAGATGTCGTCGGATATGGGGACGGATGTCGCAGTAGAGAGTGAGAGATGGAGATAAGAGTGAGTTGCGATTTAGGATTTTAGGTTATGAGTTACGATTTACGGGATATACTATTTACATTTGTGTTGTGAAATTAATATTCGTGTTACAAAAATAAACGCGCTTTTCGAATTTGACTTTTGTGTTGCGAATTTCAAAACTGAGTTGCAAATTTTAAAACTGAGTTGCGAATTTGGGAAATCCGCTTTGCGAATTTGGAAACTGTGTTGCGAAATTTAAGATCGCGTTGCGAATTTGTTAGTTATTTTCACAAATCCAAAAAAAGTTGGTTAAAATCGTATATTATAAGGTATTTTCAGCCACTCAAGTTATTTTCTCTAATTTTAAGTGTCTTCAAAAAATAAAAAATTTTAAAATTTTCTTAACATGACACATGCCAGATAATAAGGTTTTCTACTGTCCGTTTGACAGAAATATTTAAAAGTGAAAAATCGAAAATTTTACACACCTACTTTGAGTGAAAAATTCATTAAACACATAAAGTTAAGAAGATATAATTTGAAGAAAAATATTCATTAAACCAAACAGAAATTAAATAATAAGTGGGCGACTAAATATATAATTTACCCAACTTTTTCATAATCATATACCAAATAAGAAATGGAGAAATAGACCAACAACCACTTAGTCTGATGGGATGAGATGCTAGGTTCCTTAAGCAAGGTCAGTGGTTCGAATCTTGTCGTTTGCAAATGGAACAAATTGAGTTTGGAGGGTCACCCTCGCCTCTACAGTACCCGATCTGGATTAGTCAGTCAATAGATCGGATACCAGTTGTTAAAAAATTGACATTTATATGAGCTGATCATTAACATATTGCCTGGGATATGATAAAATCATATTTTAATGATGTCTACTAGCACCGCTGTTGCTTTCAAACATTGACTTGATGATATAATCTAAACATAGACTCGATCCACAAAATACAACTCAAACAATTATGAAATCAAATTTGGGACATATGAATAGTTAGGTGACTAGGACTTAACAAATTAATACCTTATAATCATAAAACCATTTTTTAACTTTTAATATTTAGATTATTCAACAAAGTAACCCCCATAAAGACTTTTTGTGTACCCTTACCAACTATTTGTATTTATAATTCTAATTCTACTTAAAGTTTTATGAGATAATTTTCCATAATTAAGTGAATTTAAATCAATTAAAAACTCTTAATAAACCATAAATTCAAATACACTCCAACAGTGTTTGGGTTTAAAAAGATTATAGTTATTTAAAAAATAATGCATAATCGGAGTATGCTGTAAGGTAATTGACATATGTACAGGCTGTAGAAGATGGCAGAGATTTTGGATTTCATTGCCACTGCTCCTGCAAACTGGTATTTATTTACATAAGCAGAGTCCTCATCCCCAGCCAAACTAAAACAGAGAGATCTAAGCAAAACAAAAGCATCATTAACTTCCCCAAACAGACAAATTAAGAATGAGGGAACCAACAACGATGGTGGGCGTCGACGGTAATGTTGCTGCTGCTGCTGGTGATGATGGATCAGCTCTCCCTCCACCGTCGTCTTCACCGCCGCAAGCATTAATCGAGAGGCTCAAGGACTACGGCCAGGAACACGTTTTCGCCCTCTGGGACGAGCTTTCCCCTCAAGAACGACTCCATTTTGTCGACGATATCCAGGTCAGTGTTTTTCTACGGTTCCGAGTATTCAATTTCGCTTCTGAATCTTGTAACTTTTGGTTTCTTAATTAATAATTCAACTTTGGTTTGTTTACTTCAGGGTTTGGATCTTTCGAGGACAGATCGGATCATTCGTTGCTCTCTTCGATCTCAAGGTGAGTCTATATGTATATAATTCCTCAGATTGCACTCTTTTTCTGATCCCTTCTGTTTCGGTTATATTTTTAATATGATTTTGTTTCTTGTGGGGGCTTTTAGGACTGCCGGTGGCAGCAATGGAGCCAGTTCCCAAGAGTTGCGTATCCTCTGTAGAGGAGAGAGCGATGGAGGAACGGGAAAGGTGGTGGAAGATGGGATTGAAGGCTATATCGGAAGGCAAATTGGCTGTTTTGCTTCTTGTATATTATCTATCGCCATTGGTGTTTTTTTTCTTAATCTTTTATAATTTAGATCATAGATTTATTACATATGTTTACTGTCTCTTATAACAACATACAACAGCAAATGATGTGGGTCTTCATTTTGCTTCTTCTTGATCTAATATTTCATGTCTCACCTAGAAAGATTTAATGATGCTGTTATCACTGGTTCTTGGCCAAGGAGTCTTTCTATCTCTGGCCATAATTTTGGAATGATGTTACTTTAAAATGGTTCCCTCATTAGACATTTTTTATTAATGTAAAAGGATGGGCCCATACACTCTTAAAGGTTGGTATGATGTTGCTTTATTGGATGTCTAGTAATGATAATTAGTGATAAAGGTATGTTAAACTTTGGAATTGGATGCTTCAATATGTTTCTGCAAATAATAATTGTTTAGTTAAAAAGATTCTTTACTAAATTCTATACTCTTCCATTTCTGAAAAACGGAATGTAAATCAGCTTTTTGAACAATACACCAAATTATCCAAATAAATAAATAAGATACACTGTCAAGTAACTCTGAATTATTTCCCACTTTTCTGATTCTTTGTTTTATATCCTTATGATTGAAATGTTCTGCAGGGGACTCGGCTTGGAAGTTCAGATCCCAAGGGATGTTTCAGTGAATACTTTTTAATCACTGCTGGAATGGTTTTGAAAATCTTATGCTGCATTCAAGCTTCTTCTGATGATGCTTTTCACTTAATATTTGGTGTTGAACAGGACATGTTCAGGGAATGTCCTTTATGGAACTTAAAACAGTTAACCATGTTTAATGCTTTCCTATCTCACTTTTCTATGTTGCCAAACTCTCTGGATCTGAGATTATTGTTTAATTCTAAGCCATACCACAAACTGATATAAAATTGAGGATGGTAAGGTTCTTGAAAAGTGTCAAGTGTGATATATAAATTAATCAGACAGATTTTTTAAGGAAGCATGTTTATAAATTACAAAGCATATGAGGATGCAATGAACTCTTTTTGGGGTTCAACTGTTCAAGATGTAATGAACCTGTTGGAAAATTAATTACATATTGTTTGAACAGCTTTAGTTGTTTATTAGTCTGTATGTTATTACTTGGAATTCACTGTTTATATTTATATTTATATTTGATTTTAGACATTGGACTTCCTTCTGGGAAGTCACTTTTTCAACTGCAAGCTAAGCGGATTTTGTGTGTTCAAAAACTAGCCGCACAAGCCAAGAATGAGGGTAAACTTCTCTATCTGCTCTGCATGATTCTTTTATGCTTGTATGTTATCCTGTTAATTTGATAACAGCAGGTTCAGCAGGCTCAGTGACAATACACTGGTACATAATGACTAGCCCATTTACTGATGATGCAACTCCCAAGTTCTTTGAGAATCATAAATACTTTGGTCTTGAAGCGGATCAAGTGAGATCATTTCTGATTCTCTGGTTTCCTCGTGGTTTATTTTTTGTTAATTTTCTGACTTCAGTCTGGTCACATTTCAGGTTATATTTTTCCAGCAAGGCACCAAACCTTGTATTTCAAAGGATGGCAGATATATCATGGAGACTCCATTTAAGGTGTGGTTTCTTTTGTGAATGAGCTTCAATTTAGAGTGACATATCCTTTTGTTTGAGTAAAGTTCAAGTTGCAATTAAGGCTTAATTTAGGATTTGGCCCCTTTACTGTACCCATTTTCCTATTTGGTATATAAACTCTATTTTGTCCCACTTTGGTACCTAAACTATTATTCCGTCTCTGTTTACCCTAATGTTTTAAGAAGATACTGACAATGCCAGCCAATAAGAATGTGACGTGGTAGATGACGTTATCCATGATTGGATAAGTAGTGGCGCATTGTTATTGATTAACATTGCCATTTCTTTTAATGTTATTAACTTTTGGGATAAACTGAGATGGAATGAGAATTTAGGTACCAAAGTGGGCCAAAGAAGGTTTAGGTTTTCAGGGACTGAATCGTGAACAAAGCCTATAATTAACAATCTCAGTTGTACATATTGTCTTAAATTTCAGAGCATTTTTAAGAGGTGTCAGCCCTTAAACTGTTCTACTTGCAATATAACTGATTTGCATCAGATGCTAATGAATATTATTATAACATCACAACTTCACTTTTGGGTTTAGTATTTTTTTAAATGGATGCTGATTGCTGAAAAAAGGCCAAGTAAAATTTACCTGTCTGTAAGTTTTAGGAGGTAAAGAGTTCCTTTGTTATTAATACTTAAAAGGTTTTTCATTTGGCTGACTGGTATTATTTTATTTCACAATTTGCTTCCTGTTCTAAGTAGCAAAAATTTTCAACTTTGGAGTTTATGAGTAATTTTTTTAAGCCAGTTAGCAAAGTCTCCAGATGGGAATGGAGGAGTATATTCAGATATTTCAAATTAATGCAGAAATAGGCAGTCTTTTATTTTCAGCTAACTAGTAAAATGTACTGGCTATTATATGAATATTTAATTGGATTCCTAATTTTTTTTGTTCAGCTCTGAAATCTTCAAGATTGTTAGAGGATATGGCCACGAGAGGGATTAAATATGTAGATTGCTATGGTGTTGATAATGCATTTGCGAGTTTTTCTGTCTTCATTTTCTTTGGTTAAAACTTAAAATTTTCCATGATGTTTCTTTTAAAGAGCCAGTATCTGGGGGGTCTCTGCTGCAGGTTCGTGCAGCTGATCCTATTTTCTTGGGATATTTCATCGATAAAGGTGTAGCTGTGTTATGAACTGAAGAGAATAGAAAAGGAAAAATCGAAGGATTAAAGGTTTTAGAAGAAGAAAAGCAGGGAGATTTCATAAATCAGAATTTCATTCATTCATCAGGTATCTTTCTCATTCCTTAATACACAGTTTTATTTGATTACAATGTACTATAACAAATAGAAAGAGGACAGCTGTATAATTAATTTTCTAACAAACTCCTTGCAGCTGAATATTTTCCTCCTTTGGGTTGATAACTGGATTCACGTCTGAGCCCATCTCCTCTGCCCAACTCTTCTTCTGCTGCAACTCCAGGTAATTTCCTTCAGCCTCTCATTAGAGATTGAAATCCCTAATTCCCTTATCTCTTTTCTCTCAATCCCTAATTCCTCGTCCATTTCCCCCAATTCCCTCGTTTCAATTCTAATCCCCTCGTCCTGGTCTTCTCTTGCAACCGTGACAAGCTGCTGCTGCTAAAGTTGTGCGAAAGGTAGTTAGTGTTCTCAATTTCCAAGTATATCTGAGAATTTCAGTTGCATGAATTGCTTAATTCTTTTTTGACTATATTATCAATATTTGAGAGTGGTATTAATTAGCTGGATTGCAATAGTTCGTAGCATTTGTTCGATATCTCTGTTCTGTAAACTATATGTTAAATATCTGGAGTTTTTCAAAACTGTTTTAGATTGATAGTTCCGCTCATCAAAGGGAGACTGAAACCTTTCATTTCTTCAAAGGGGGACTGAAACATCAAGACTCGATCGATTGATCGAGAGAGAGATCTTTAGGGTTCTGAAAATAATCTGCTAAACTTTTATTATTTCATAAGTCACATTAAATAGAGATCAAAATAATTAAATAAAGTTCTATCGAACAAAAATTCTATTTTAAGAGTAACAATTAACTTCCAATAATAATAAAACTTTTATTAGGAGTCCTACCTAATTACCCTAATAAAATAACTACTTTTATAAGAGATAAGAGTTTCACGTCCATAATAAAGAAAATGTTATTTTATTGTCAATTTAGTAATATAATGAAAATAAAGGCTATCTTTATTGGTTTAAAAATTTCTCCAAATGCTTATATATCTTATAGACAGATTATAAACTTCAAATCTTTTTAAGGCTATTATAATGTCTTAATATCTCCTAGTAAATGGTTTACAGGCCTATCCCCAGGAAAAGGTTGGTGTTTTTGTAAGGCGTGGTAAAGGCGGGCCTCTTACTGTGGTTGAATACGGTGAATTAAATTCGTCACTGGCTTCTGCAATTAACCAGCAAACTGGACGCCTTCGTTTTTGCTGGAGTAATGTATACTATCTGTCACCAATTTTGATTAAATATTTCTTGCTTCTTGGAAAATATAGTATTTTTTGGATTCAATATGCTGCATCTCTGTGCTTTTTTTATTTCCTTTATGTCGTATTGTATCATGTTAAGTTGTAGGCTTAGTTGAGAGTAGAAGTTGGTACCTGTAAGAGAAGAAATTTGAAGGTTATGGAAACTGTGTGCTGCTTCGAATTCATGTAAATAGGCTGCACAATTTGTGTCATAGACTTGAATGATTTTAACTGTTTGCAGATTTTATAGAAAATTGAGAAGCGCTGCTAACAAATATTGCTCGAGGATATTCAAAATTTAGAACCAACTATGTTCTTTGATGGCAGTTTATTATCCATTTAAACCACAGGTTTCAATTTGGATTTGTCGTGTTATCAAAAACTGTGACATTGTAATACCTAGAATACATTTGCATTAACAAATGAAGATAAATATTGTGATTGTATATCTTATGCTAATATGGCTGTATGCTTTCCAGGTATGCTTACACATGTTTACTTTGGACTTTCTCAGCCAAGTGGCAGTTGGCCTTGAGAAAGACAGCGTGTAAGTGATGTTTTTTCTTTCCTTTCGAGATACATGTTTTGATCTGTTACACCTTGAACATTGTTCTGATAATTAGTGCTGTTTCTGAGATAATTGTAATCTATTCATCAAATGCAAAATCCATGAGCTGCTTCCTCCTCTCTGCGTCTCTCATTGTACTGAAAACAAACATGATCAATGGGTGTTTGCTGTTTCCTTTTCAAGACGTGTTGTGGTTATGGATCAAGCAAACATGTAGAAGATTTTGACTGAGCTATGTTTTTGTTTTAAGAGTATAGTATCTGACATCAGTTATACTTCTTGGTAACTACAGGGACGGATGTATGATTTTATATTAAGGAACAAACTTATAAAATTTTAGGGACGAAAACAAAATGTCAACAGAAAATACAAAGAAAATATTTAAAATATATGAGAATTTGAAATTTTCAAGGGCGACTGCCCTCACTTGTCCCCCTTCGGTCCATCCTTCCCACTTAACCCTTTAAAGGAAGTTAATATTTATACATGTCTGACCACAGTTACCATGTAGCCGAGAAGAAGATCCCGTTTATTAATGGGTATACAATGGGGTTGAAACTAGAGCAGTTCGTCTTTGATGCATTTCCATTGTTTGAGGTGATCACTTCCCCTCGCTTCTATATTTTTGCTCCAACTAATTTCTTTTTTCTTTTCTTCCCTGTCTATTGGAAATGTAATATACTGTGTAATTTTTTATGTTTCCAAATACGCAGGTATTACGAGAGGAAGAGTTTGCACCAGTGAAAAATGCCAATGGTTCAAATTATGACACTCCAGACAGTGCGAGGCTGCTTCTTCTGCAGCTACACTCACGTTGGGTAGCCACTGCCGGTGGCTTCTTGACGCATTCAGTGCCATTATATGCAGCTGGTAATTTTCATGATTGACATTGCTGCATTACCATTCTCTTTTTTGAGGATTCCAAGTCTTTGATGGTGTCTCGTATATGAACCCAGGTGTGGAGGTATCACTGCTTTGTTCTTACGCCGGAGAAAACTTGGAGTCCATATGCCGTGTAAGAACATTTCACGCACCCTGCGAAATTGCATTTTAGTTTTTACTTTATTATGTATTTGATTGAGAATATAAGGTACATTGCATGGCATGGATAAGAGTGGATTGAGATGCAGGCATAGGAAATAAGGATTTTTGCAATATCTTTCTAGCTTCATTGTCTAAGACCGACCGTATCGTCGGACAAAACTCTAATCCCGTGACATTTCGGGTCATGCTGTTGTTTTCATATTTTTTTATCTTGTCATACGCCACATTAAAACATTTGTGATTGTGTTTATTAATGAGAAAAGAAGTCCTACAACATGAAGATGACATCATTTTCCACGTTTGATACGAATTACAATACCTAAACAGATCATAATTCCTCAACCTAATAGGAAACAATCGAACGCGAAAGTACTCAAACTCGTGACTTTTCGATGTTACAACAACAATATCAATACAGCTAACCGACGACGCCTGATTTCATCATTTTACAACCGAATCGAACATAAATGACAAAACAGTAGGCTGTGAACAAAACTTTGAAGGATGAATGCAAGAACCAACAATTATTAAAATTGAATTCAAATGAAATGACAATATTTGCTCAAGAATAGGGCGATACACCAAGCAGGGGCTCCATCAGCTAACTGATGCTGCAGAAACTTATAAACTGCCTCGGTTGTTGTAGAAGCTATGCGAAGAACAACACCAATTCCCTGCAAAAACAGTTCTTCACTTTAACAAACATCAAGATCAAACATTTTTTAGTAATACAAGCATGAATTCAATGCAACAACACAGCTGATATTGTGTCAGCAAATACCTTAGGACCAAAGGCACTGCAGGATGCAATAAAAGCCGGCCTGATGGAACAATTATCTGAACTTGATCTAGCATGACACCCCGTGCTAGTCGAAGGAATCTGTAATTGCTGAGACATCAGCCTCTTCACATTTTCTTGAACTTGGTCTTGGACAAGCTTCAGCTTTGGGCTACAAATAAGTTACTTCTGTCACAAAATCCTTTCAGCATAAACGAATTTAGGGTCTGTTTGTTTGACTGTAATTGATTTTCCGGAAATTGAATTACTGCAATTTGAATTATTGAAATTTGAATTACTGGAAAATGAATTACTGGAATTTGAATTCTGGAAAATGAATTACATTTCTGGAAAATGAATTACACATTTCTGGAAAACATCTGAAAAACGTTTTATGATGTTATTTAAACCTTTTTTTCCACTAGTTGAATAGTTTTTAAAAATTATTTATTTCAAATATTAAATATAATAAATAATATTATTTATCATAAAACTTAATATTATTATTAAATATTATTTTTATAATTTTATTAATAAAAATATTATTATTGGTATATTTTAGTGAAATAAAATATTATAAATTATATTAATTATTTATTAATGTAATAGTGTTATATTATATTTTAAAAATATTAATTAGTATATTCTAAATATCTTTACTAAAATATTATTTAAATATATAAATAATATTATTCATTATTAAATATATAAAAAAATATTATATATTATTAAAATAAAAATATAATATCTTATATTATATTATTATAATATAATTGATTATTTTATATAATATTAAAAATATATAATATTATATTATTATAAATATTAATAAATATATTTTAAATATTTTAATAAATAATATTTTGATGAAAATGATATTAAAATATTTTATTAATATTAAATTCATAAAATAAAATTATTTTGAATATTTTTGCTTTAAAGTGAAAAGTTTGGAAAATGACTTACGGAAAATGAATCCGTAAGTCATTTTACAGAAAATACAAAGGAAATTATGTTACTAGGAAAATGAATTACATTCCGGAAAATGAATTACGTGAAACAAACACGGAAAACATTTTCCGGAAAACGAATTACGTAAAACAAATACGGAAAAACATTTTTCGAAAAACGAATTACATGAAACAAACACGGAATTTCGGGGAAAACTAATTCCGTAATTGTTTTTACGGCAAACAAACAGACCCTTAATACACCTTAGTAAAATGGACACTGGAGTAACTACCCATAGATTATCACCATTGCTATGACTTGGTACTCGTGCATTCGTTCCGCTATATTCATAGGGCTACCTTGTTCTAGCAATACCTAAGTTTTGAAGAAAAATCAAAAAGGAGGCAAATCAATGAATGGACGGGAAACACGTTCAGAGAACATCATAGAGGAAAAAAACATAAAATTTGAAGTTAACAGATTAGCATTATGATCACAGAGAAAAACATAAATTATCCACAGGACACCATTTCTTAAATGCATTATGATCATTAACAGATCAGCATTATAACTAGGGGAATAATGAGAACATTACGGTGTCAAGGAATACAGGTCGGTCGCCTTCAACAAATATGTAGTTGGTGCTCCGATAAAGTTCAAAATCACATTTTCCCCACTTTCATGACGACCACTGGTAAACCAATCTACAATGACCAAACTCGAGTCAGACACCAACCTAAACATCTGTTTCTGAGAATACCTCGCGGTGGAAAAACATGTGACTGGATCCGGAATGACTACGAATAGAGCACCACTACCGATTCTTGCCTACTGCATAGTAAAGCAAAGATTAGCCATTTCCACTACAAGCATTCATCTAAACATAGTCAAAATGTTGAATCCTTTAATAAAAAAACGTATCACAAAAATATGATTTTACAGTAAATTAGTGGTTATTCATCAGTCTGCATTAGCATCTCGGGTTCGGAGTTTAGGGTCTTGGAAGGATAGTTACCTCCAAGACTTGCTCAGAACACTTGGACCCCAAAGACTTGTAGACCTATACAGAAGTGAAACTAATCAATTCCGTCAAAACCCAGCTTTTAAATCGCACAGACAAAAGGATTAGAAGATAAAGATCAAACCTTTGTAGAGGATTGGGTAGTAAGAACAGCAGTGCAGCCATCTCCGATTGTAAATTCAACTGAAATAGAATCCCCCTAACATAGAACAAATGATAAACATAACATCCCAAAACAAAAAGAAAGAAGAAATGATACAGAGACTGATGATCGAGCTATGTGAATGTACGGAGACAATGCCACCGCCATAGGTGAGGGTGTAAATCCAGACAGCATCGGTTTCGGAAGGACCCACCTGAGGAATCAATCAATCAATCATCATCAGCTTCAGTCGAGAGGAATAAACAAAGACATTTAGTCTTTTGTGATGTAAGAAGGGAGAGAACCTTTCTGGGGATAATTAGTTTAAATGGATACTTTGAGAAGCTTCTTGTCACTGTTGACTTTCCTCTCACCTTCTCCACTACAACCTTTCCCTTCTCCATTTCTGCTTTCTTCTACCCTTCCGTTTATTACTTCCATTTATAATGAAAATTGCAAACTCTTTGGGCTTTCTTAAACCCATGTTGACCCAAAATCTTAGAAGGGCTGCTTTGTAATTCGTATATTATCACATAGATCTGATTTATTATTTGATTAATTTAGATCAGATATTATATAAATTTAATAAATCGATTAATTTCAATTGAATAATGTAGAAATTTAATATGCGAACAAATCTTTTAATCTAATTTATTTTATTCGTAAATGTTAAAGCTCGAACCTTACTTCAAAAATATAAAATCCCTATAGATGTAAAACTGTTATTATAATCTAAACCTTGAAACTGTAGGAATATTTAAGGATTGAACTATTTATTTAACTATGTAAATTTATTTGAAATATGAGAGAATTCAAATTAAAAAAGTATTATATTTTTATAAAATGGGGTCAGATTTCAACTTTAACATTTAAAATTTAGACTTGATTATTTTTTAAAATCTATAATATATTTACATTATAAAATTTTATATATCATATAAAAATTAAATTTACAATGTAATATTAAAAGATAAATATTAAAAAATATGTTAAATTATTGACTAAACTTATGTTGCGCAGATAAGGATTATTACTTCATTCAAATTGACATTAAATGCCAAGTTCGACATGAAATATTTTTTCTTGTTACTTTTAGTGAGTATCTTCTCATTTTCTACTATTAATCTCATCCATCTATTTTCACTAATTCAACTATCCTAGATTTGTATAAAACTAAAAGAGTTTTACATCCTATCCCATATATATTTAGAATCATTGGATTAATAAAAATAGATGACTGAAATTGACAGTAGAAAATGAGAAGACATTCACTAAAAAAAGTAAGGAATCAATCTCATTCATCTATTTTCACTGATCAAACGATCCTAAATCTGAGTAAACTTAAAAGATTTTACATTGTATAAATGAATATTAACCATATATATATATGTATATATGTGTATGTTTATCGTTTGAAACATTAGAGGCCTTGCTAAAGGACCAATAGGAAGTAGCCAACTTCATTGAAGGTTGAAAACAACATAAATTTTAAATTACAACTAGTTAATATAAGACTAAAAAATAATAGAAAATAAAGTAATATTTTACATTGAAACTAAAAATTACATTTTTCGTACCATTTTCAATTACAAATATTAAAAATTTATTTAATTTTTTAAGTTGAACAAGATAACATTTTCAAGTTGAAAACCATCTTAAAATAAACTTAAATTAAGCTACCGCACAACAAAATTACCCTGAAAATATATATGGAGCGTTAAATCCAGGAACATGATTTTATCTTGTCCCTTTCACCACAGATGGTTTTGATCGGATTACGAATAAAAGTACAAATATAGACTTCCCTCTTACTGAACAAAATTATTTGATTTGATGAACCAGTTGGTGTTGGCCATGTTTGTTTTTCCCAAACTCCAGGGAACAATCAAGGCCAATATAAATTCAGATTTCTTATTCTATCATTTTGGCGAACTAGAAAGAGCAGTACAAACCTGCGGGGTTCAACCTCTATAATCTAAATACACTTTCGGTTGTTAAGCTTACAGCCATATAAATTGTTGCATCCTCAAGTTGAATCCATGGAGGAATGCGAGTGCTAGCATCAATGCTTAAAGTGCCTCACATTTGTGAAAAGCAACGAAACACCGTACTTGTTACAACAGTTCGCTTTTATATGCATGTGAAATAAGATCTTAACAACGTAAAAGGAGCAAAAACAAAAACTTTTCGAGGTCGTAATTACCGGAAACGGAAAGAATGCATCGCTAGCCAAAGCAGCTCCCTTGACCTCGTCTCCTGCTTTCCTCAAAGCTATTCTCAAACTCTCGAGACGGTTTGGTTGCCCACTTCCCATACCCAACGTACAGTTGTCCTGAGAAATAATAATGTCCACGGCTCAGCAAATCTTATCCCAACTTTTCTCAAGAGGAAAAAGGGAAGTATTTATCATAAGGATCTATAATCCAACAAGGTTATTTGAATTTGATGTCCTAGCAAAAAATAACAAACCTTTGCTATTACAATAGCATTGCTCTTGACATGCTTAGCACACAGCCATGCAAATTCGGCATCACAAAGCTCACTATCTTGAGGCTTCTTCTCGGATATCACATTGAACTGGATATCTTCAGAGGTCAAGTCATCTGAATCCTGGGCCAACCAACCATCACCAACCTGTCGTGGTGAGAACTTACCTTTCTCGTTCTTCTTTGCTTCAAGGATTCTCAATGTTTTTGACTTTCCACGGAGGACATCAAGTCCCTTCTCTGTATACTTGGGAGCCACTATGATCTCATAGAACATCCGAGTTTCGCCATCTGTTGGGCTTCGGAACTCTCGGATTTCCTTAGCAAGAGCCTAAAGCCAAAACAGTGAGCAATCATATTGTCAAAAAGGGTACTATATCTTGATTTTGAAGGTAGCATATGGATAAGATGATATTCAATATGTGATAAAAGGACCGCACAACTGCATGTAAAGATTCCAAAAATCTTACTAACTTGCCTCATCTACTTCTATGTTGAAGGCTACAATTCCTCCAAATGCAGTCACTGGATCAGCTTTCACAGCCAGCCTGTAAGCCTCAAGGATGTCATCACGAGAAGCTACTCCACATGGATTTGTGTGCTTTACAATCACACATGTAGGGTTCCTAAACTCAGAGACACAATTCCAAGCAGCATCGGCATCTAAATAGTTATTATACGACATTTCCTGCACCACGATAAATATAAGAATTAAGGATATTCCAGGGAATAACACAGCTCAGAACTAAATTGGAAACGAATATAATCATAGCATTCCAATTTGCAAAGGATTTCATGTCCTTAACCACCAAAACGAAAAAGAACAGCAACAAAACAAGAGACTCGTCAACATAGGCAACAATATAAATTCTATCTGTGTTTGCATGATAAGAACCAAATGGAAAGAAGAAGTATGGTCCGACTGATAGTCAAATATCTTGTAACTCAGTTGATCAGCAGAGCAAGCCGAACAAAAACGTAGTAAAAGCAAATACTTTCTTGGAAAAGAAAACTAGGAAGGAAAAACAGGCAAGATGATTCCATAATTATCTATTGTTTTAACTTATTAACAAGCATAACTAGGTCTAGAGCATAAAAATAACATTAAGAACTAAATCACCTTCCCATGGTGTTGAACAGCTGTAGCAATACCACCAGCATTGACCTCGGACAAACTCTTGTCAACATAAAATGCAGCTTTCTGATGAGGATTTTCACCATAACGAAGTGAACTTTTGAGGGATAATGGCACCGTCAACTGGGGAGGGAATTTATCTTCCAACAAATAAAGAATTATGCCAATCTATAACAATTATTGGTAGCACTTAATAAAAATAGTTTAATGAGTTGTTGCATGGATTCTTTTAAAAAGGAAGATGTATTTCTTTTAATGAAAAAGTATACTTTGTTAGCTAAGACCTAAGCTTATGGTAGGTAAAGTAGCTTTCTTTTCTTCTAAACATCATTAAACGAATACCATTTCAACTACGATGACCAAGTAGCTAAGCATAAGAGAATACCTCCTGCAGTCTGTTTCCAGAGCCACTCTGAAACTGCAGAATCATAAGAAGCAACATGCTCAAAAGCTTTCCAGGCAAGCTTTCTCCGGAATTGTTGATCATCCTGCCCGCCTTTAAGGAATTCAAGGAGTGCAGGATAGTCTTGTGAGTCAATAACAACCAAGACATCCTTGTGATTCTATTCAAGTAAATGTGTTATTTTGCAATAGAAAATGAATAAAACAAAGAATGTCCTATTGTATGTTAAGGAATGATAAACATGTTATTTTGAAATAGAAATGATTGAAACGTCCTTCGTTACCAATGTTGTTCAATTACCTATTTAGCTTTGCTTATTGAGAAAACATGTTCAACATAAGACTATCTACTAGAAAATGAAGCCACATAACAATGATTCAAGCTAATACACAACTTGGGAAAACGAATACACCAATCAAATAACATTTCACTACTAGCTTAACAGTTACCTTTGCAGCAGCTCTAATCATTGCAGGTCCACCAATATCAATATTCTCGATGCCATCGTCAAATGCAATTCCTCCCGTAGAAGTAACTTTATCATAAAATGGGTACAAGTTCACAACCACCACATCAAACGTACCTGAATAAAAATAATTTTAGCTAAAAGACAGGAAAAAAAAGGAAAGTCTGATACCATACTTGTTTAGAAGTTACTTATCCATTAAGGAGTTTCATTTCACCACAAGGTTAGAAGTTATCACTCACCAATGCCACGCTTATTAAGAGCTTCCATGTGATGTTTTTGGTCCCTTCTAGCAAGAATACCACCATGTATGTTGGGATGTAGCGTTTTGACACGACCATCCAGCTGTAAAAGACACTTCAGTCAATCTCCAAACTCAATGAGATTTAAAGCTGAAACTAACATCTAAGAGGTATACTAGTGTTAGTATCATATCATAGGAAATCGTGGCGATTGATCATTAAGAGAGAAGATAATAAGTAGGCCTTGATTTAAAGGTCAAGTACCAAAAAAAGCTTCCTAAATAATCAGTGAGGTCGTCCTAATTTTTTTGATGAATAATATAATTTACCCAGAAAAAGTGTCATGTTATAACAACTCGGTCAAATTTGCCTTTAACTTCCAACTCCATGGAAATTAGATAGAAATAGTTGTTGAAAAAGAAAATCAGAGAAATTTTAAAACAATTCCCTTCGACAGTATCAAAACTTTCAATGAATTCCCAGTTCCAAACGATGGTTAAATGACCCACTGACACTCATTCTCTTATCCATGACATAGAAAAGTAGAAAAATTATATCGACTTACCATAAGTTATATTCTGAGAAAGTACACGACTCTATTTCATTTATTCTTTGCCTTCTTTGAATGAACCTGATGCTGCTCCTTTTTCCTACCCATGCCTGATACACTTTTCTTCTTCGAGGGCAGTTGAGCTTATTTCAATTTCATCTTAACCGATCTCACCATCGACGACAGGTTAAGCTTCTCCTTTGATGGCAAAATATAGCACTTCTCACGCTCAACTTCGCTTATCCCAGGATCATCAGTGGGTATCTTCGTGTCCTCTGCAACTTCCTGTTCGCCGTTCTGCCGCTTTTTTGGATATTTGTCGAGCATAGATTGCACTCCTTTTGAACTGTGAGTCGTCATAATCACTTCAGCTGATTCTTTTTAATCCACTTAAAATAGTAATAGATGCCCTAGCAAGGCCATGGAATATTAATCAGGGAAAGAAAAGATTCAAGCAGGATAGGACAGCACAAAATAAGAACCAAGGTTACCATTTCAGGGGAACATGTTAGCTGCTCCACTTTGGTTACAGAGACGCCAGCATTTTCTAAGGCAGATGCAGTTCCTCCAGTTGAAACAATTGTGTACATATAATTTCCAAAGAAGCAAGTTCAAACCAAGGCTTCAAAACCGCTGCTTTAAACTTCACATTGATACTGATAAGTAGGGCTAGAGACTAGGCGAGTCAAGCTCGATTATCGTTGAGTTTGACTCAATTTGAAAAGTTGGATTCGACTTAAAACTTGCGAGCTTACAATTTTTAATCTCAACTCAAAATCAAAAATTAAAACTAGATTCGAGCTCAAAAAAACTTAAACTCGAAATATTCTCTGATTTAACTCGATTAAAGCTCAAAGTTGAGCTCGATTCAAGCTCGAACTCGAGTTCACACATGAACAATAAGTATATGATTTTTTTTAAAAAATATATTAATTTTTTCGAGTTAAGTATCAAGTAACTCACTTCATGTTATTAAGATCTCGAGTTGAGGTCAAACCCAAGTCCATTCGATTCGAGTGTTACTTAAGCAACAAACGATCTATCTCATATAATTTAACGTCATGCTAATAACATAGACCATATTAATAGAGACAACACATGAATTTATGTCAATAGTGCAAACTTAAAAAATTATATTAAAAATTTAGGAGTGCAAAATTATATAATCTCATGGATGCGAATTAGATATTCTATATAAAATACAAGAAAAATACCTAAAGGATTTTAAAATTTCTAGGAGTGAGTTGGGTCCATCCCTACCTACCAAGTCCTAGAAAAAGGTTTTAAAGACTTGAATACGTAAATGATGTCGTATTTATGACATTTTCCTCAAGTATAAGGCGAATCGACCTAAATATCATCATATGATCCTAATATGCTAAGCATAACACTGTTTGTCTAATATTTCCCAAAGTAACACCCTTTAGGCTGATGTGAAAATAAGGCGCGCTCTCGTGAACACGCTTTAATTGGTTTTTTACCTACTAGGATGTCACGCGGGTAAGGCGCTTTGCAGGGAGCACGTTTTCACGGGATTTGGTGATACGTGGGAAGGAGCGTTGCAGAGGACACACTTTCTATTAATAAGTATTTAATTCCCACCCGTTTTCCCCACCTAATCACCCTCCTCTTCCCCTATATAAACCCCTTTAACCCCCTCATTCTTCACACCAAGACAATTCTTTCTCTCTAATATAACTTAAATTCATCTCTTATTTGAGTTAAAAATTTCTTAGTAGTTGGTAAGAAATTTATTTTTAAATTAGTATATTTTTTAAATAGTTGTTATAATTTTTTTATAAATATTTTTTTTTTATAAATAATGTTATATATTTTTATTAAAATAATATTTATATAATTATTATTTATTTAAATTTATTAATTAATTATTTTTGCTAATTATATTTGTTTGCCTACAGTTATAATGGAAAACGAGATGCTACTACGATTTGATGCAAATCATATCTCAAGACATTTTACTGATATGATAAATTTTTTTTAATTTATGTAAATGTTTAATATTTTTTTAATTTAAAGTTATCATGAATTTATATTAATTTTAAAATTTTAGAATGTTTATTAATTAGGAAAATGATCGTATTTTGGAGACATTTATTCGAAATACGAAGATACTGACACCAACACGTATTTGGATGTATCTGTCTTCAGATGGGTTCGGGTATATTGCGAAAATTGTTGGCGGTTGTAAAATCGAACCCACCCTAATTTCCGAATTAATTGAGAGGTGGAGACCGGAGACACACACATTTTATTTTCCATGTGGAGAGTGTACAATTACACTGGAAAATGTCTTAATGCATTTGGGGCTTCCCGTTGATGGAAATATTATGTGTGGTGTGACCGATGGAGATTGACATTCACTATGCATGGAGTATCTTGGAGCTTCTCCGCCAGATTTCAATGGAGGTCAAACACCTTTATCATGGCTAAAAGCCAATTTTGAAGTTTTGAATGAAAATGCTTATGAGGATGAAATAAAGGCATGTGCTCGGACATATATACTACGAATCATTGGAGGAATATTGATGCCCGAAAAATCTCGAAACCAGGTGCATTGTATGTGGTTGCGTCATCTTATTGATTTTGATGAAACAGGAAGATACAGTTGGGGCGCCGCAATTTTGGCATTTCTCTTTAGAGAAATGTGTCACGCAACGAATTATAGTAAAACTGCTATCGGTGGATGTCTCATGCTTCTCCAATCATGGGCGTGGTTCCGCATGTCTTTCTTATGCTCGATCGTTAATGAGCCATATGTATTCCCATTATTATTGAGGTAATTTCAGAACTAAATATTGATTTAAATATTTTTAATTAAATAGGGTGATATTTAGGTTATATTATATTACATAGGTGGTCGATGAAAAGAAAAAATCATAAAGATATACCTAGTGAACCAGAGGAAATCCGTTTAATTATTGATAAAAAAACTGGATCTGAGGTTCGTCTTTAAATATGAATAATTTAATTTAAAATGTTTGATATAATTAGAATATTATATTTATTAGAATTATATATTTATGTTTAAGTTTCAGTGGATACCTTACGAGCGATGAAATAAAGGCTTGCATCCCACTCCACTTGAGTGGGCCATTAGATGTTTGGATGTCAGTTGTACCTCTGATATGTTATGCTATTGTTGAGTGGCATCTGGTTGATCGTGTGCTCCATCAGTTTTGTTGTACGCAATATATTCCTGAAGCAACTATCAATTTAGAAAATATGCATAACATAGATAGATGAGAAAAAAAGAGGTCAACTGGGTGGTGAAACATAGAGACTGGATTATGATTTGGGAGAACTGGTATCAACGCTTGCCCCCTCGACAATTTTACGCTAAAATTGGTTAGATGGTTACGGATAACTATCTGCAGTGGTTTAATGAAAACGAGAAGCCATTTCTACTTTCGGAGGAAGCACGAGGGGTAAGCATTCATAGGCGCCGAGATAGACGTTCACCGTCATAATATCATCGTCCCCCAACTCGTGGACGGATAGAATCTGCTATCGGTTTGGCATCAGTCGCACTACTAGAACCATCAAAACATCCATCATCTCCACTGATGATGATGCCACAGGGGTACATGCCCAACCCACCACTTCAGATGCCATCTCCACAAGGGTATATGCTCAGCCCACCAGTTCATATGTCATCTCCACACGGGTATATGCCCAGTCCACCAGTTCATATGTCATCTCCGCAGGGTTACATTCCCAGCCCGCAAGGTTACATACCCAGCCCGCAGGGTTTTATGACACCCCATGGAGGTGCATATACCGCTATGCTTAATGATCCAACATATGATTCATATGCATCTTATTTGGCTGGTGGTGTTCCTCCATAAACACCTCCACCTCCATATGGATCACAGACATCGATGCCAATATTTTCATAGTTTTCTCAATTCTCTTTGAGCGGTGGGATTGTTAGTAACACTCCTCCAGGTTCGTTATTTTATACATGCCCTTCATCGTCATCTATTCCAAATGAACAAAATGTCGATGATGATGATGATAATGAAGATGAGGAGAATGAAGAGCAAGTTATACGAAGAAATCCTCAGCGAAATAGACAACAACCACCATGTAGAACATATTCGAGAAGACGACATCGTTGATCCAGTCACATATATTAATAGTTGTATTTCAAAATTTTATGTAATTTTGTAATGTTATTTAAATGTTTAATGGTTGTTACAACAATTTTTTTAAAATTTAAATTTAAATTCAACATTAAATGTTTGTTAAATGTTTGTAAAATGCAAATCCAAATTCAACTTAATATTCCAATTAAAATTTAAAATTGTATTTGAAATTAAAACTCAACTTCATATTCCAATTAAAGTTCATAAAGAAAGTGACATTACAATTGAAACTTAAATTACATTGCTTTGTAAAAATTATTTCAAAATTATTTCCACAATAAGACTTAATTTTGGAGTAGAATGAGTAGTAAATTTCACTTTTTAACTTTAAATAATAATTAATATATTATAAATAATATTTAATATATTCGAATGACTGATTCATTTTTGAATGAATAAATTTGTACAAACTTTTCAAACAAATTCTGGTATTTGAACAGCTTCTAATCCTATAACGAATAATAGGTATTGACATGAATATTGTCCTGCTAGGGGTCATCACACATAATAGGGAAATTATAACTTGAAAAAAAAGAAAGACGCGTCCCACAAGAAGCACTTTCACCACATTGTTACGTCCCCTCAAACATGATAGTCACATAATATTAATAGTGTTCCGCCGAGGGACATCACACATAATAGGGAAATTATAACCTAGTCTCTGACAAAAAGGAAAATTGCGTTCCACAAGAAGCGCTTTCACCACATTGTTACGTCCCCTCAAACATCATAGTCACATAATATTAATAGTGTCCCATCGAGGGACATCACACATTATAGGGCAATTATAGCCTAGTCTCTGACAAAAAGGAAATGTGCGTCCCATAAGAAGTACTTTCACCATATTGTTGAGTCCCATCAAACATG